CGATCAACTCCGGTGGAGATGTAAAAGACTCCCAATGTAACCCCAATCCATTCCACCCGATCCAACTCTGATCTTCAAACAAGGCCCAGCCAGTGAACGTCATCGATGTTTCAGGCCCAACCCGTCCCGCTCATCCAGGCCACGCGCAGCTCCGGTGTGAAGTGCGCACATTTCACCAACGGTGAGAAAAGCACCTCTGCGCAAGCCCGGGAGCTCAGCAGAGGGTGCTCGGCCCACTGGAAGAACAAGGCACGACTCACCGTCCAAAGTGACCCTTTCAAAAGCCCCTCCCGAAGATGGTCAGATCAAATTAAGTCAGAGATCGGAGGGAAGACTTATGACTTATGGATATGAGCTGCGGATTGTCCAAATGGTTCAGATCAGTTCTCTCTGTCCTGCCCTGGATGAAGTGATGTTCCCCTTTCAGAGTTTGACCTCACCTACACAACACATGTCCCATGCATTTGGTATGGCCTTGAAATTAGCTAGCTAGCTCCCTTCATAGCCCATGGCGGGTCTTCGCTTGAAAAGAGTCTCCCAAGTTGCTAGGGGCTCCTGGCCTTACTACTAGGAGCAAGGACGCTACTAGGGGCTCCTGGCCTAGCTCTCGGGTCGCTCGCCTTCCAACCCCACCCAGGCCATCGGCGCCGCCCATGGCATCCCGGTGTCGTCTCCAAGGCACAGCTGGCGTCGTCTCTGACTTTTTGAAGGCATCCAGCATCTTATCCAAGATCACCTCCTGGTGCTGAAGCGTGTTCCAATGGATGGTCTCTTTCTCCGGTGGGGTAGATCGATCGGCAGTCCGGCGTTCGGCATCGCCAAATGCTGGGGTCGAAAGGAAGGGCGGAAGGGAGGGGAGGAGAAGAAGGATAGGACGGAAGCTGAGGAAGCTGCTTGATCTCTTGATCCAAATCCACAACCTCGCAATATCTCTTATCCACCTGCCTCCTTCATTGGGAGGTACTTCTGGAGACCAGCAGGTGCGTAGAGCCTCGAGCCGATCTTGGTGGGTTTCTCTGGCCTACGAGCAGCAGCTCACACATCAAGACACGAGACCACTGATATGCTTCACCAAGCGGCATGCACATGCCTCGGTGGCACGTCGTCAGGCCCTTTCCCACCATGAATGCAACTAAAAACCACGAACGAATGGGAAGCATCGAACGCACGGCATCTGGCCATGGGGCAGGCCACGCAAACCAGCCCACAAAGTCCCATATGGAAAATCCGCTTGTAGTACAACGCCACGCCAACTCCTCCAGAGCTCAGGATGTGTGGGAACATGGTGGGCCGTTGCGTGGACCATTGTCAAACTTCTACAACTTTTAAACTGTTTGCCTCAGAAAACGCCCTTTGGAGGGTCTTCAAGAGATATGGCACTTCCTTTGCTGAGGGGCCGGCTCTTAAGGAGTCGGGTCAATGGTGTCTTGAAGGGAACCTAATTGTAAACCCAAGCTGCCACAGCCATAAGTTATGGCTGTGAACGTCAAATGAGAATCATGGGCAAGCATGGTTGTGAAACCTGTGCTCAGTGGCTTAGTGCAAAGACCTTCCTTAACTAAGCCCCAGCCTGCAATGTCATCCTTCATCATGCTCACCTGGACCCGCTGCACCGGTGGGCGGGCGAAAAACACGCGCCCGGCTCGCGCGCCGTGTTCCACCGGTTTTGCGGCTCGCTGGGGCTCCCTGGCGCTCAAGTCGAACCACCGCCGCGGCGTCTTTTCGCTCGTCCGGTCCTCGGGGCGACGTCCGCCTAATGTGGGATCCGTCGCGCCGCGAACGACGCGGCGCAAATCCAGTCGAAGCACTTCCCACATCTAAGGTTCAACCTGGGCAGCCTTAGTGTAGATTACTGGTTTTCCTCCCATACGATGGAGATATGGATGTCCGGATGCCAGGTTGCTAACCCTTTTTGTTGCTCCTGTGGGCCTTGGTGAGTTCCTTTTTTCTCATCACCCATCGCGCATCCAAGGGGCCCACTTGTGCAGCTTGCACAAGCGCCGGTGCCGACGTGCCTCGATCATGTTGCGCAGGTTCTCGTCCTGAGTTCGGCCGAGTCCGTGCTGAGTCCGGGGAGTTGTTTGTGGATATGAACTATCTAAGAGTTCTGCATGTTCATCTTTTCCTGTGCTTGTAGGGGCCCCTCACAGTGAAAGTTCCTTGGTTCTTGATTTCAGCCCATCTTGGCACCTCCCAACCAACTTCGACACATCCCGTCGAGGCTCGGCATGTTCGCTGCGATAGCCGCGGCAGTAGCAAATCAGCACCACCATCACCTCAGGCTTTGCGTGCCGCAGGCCGCGGGGATGATCTACTTGCACACTCAAGCCGTTGCTATAAGAGCACAACCGGAACCTTTCAATTCACGCAGCAGCAGTAGCACATCAAGAGCATGCCATAAATCATCACAAATCTGTTCTACTGGCATCTGGTGACACGCGAAGCTCACGCTCAGCTCGGCACCAGGAAAGCTATGAGAACCACCAGCACTTTCAAGACCTCGGGCGCCACTGAGTCCAAAGATGGATAAATTGCATGAATGAACCATCCAGGATGAAGGAAAGGGCGCTAAGGACAGCCTGCCACATGCATGTGTTCCACACCTTGCTCAGGCACCATCATTGCATTGTTACTGCTGGCACGTTCTTGGCCAACCTGCTAGCTGCTAGCTGCATCCAGCTCATACCCGTCTCGCATATGCCATGCGCCCCTCTCAACATCCCACTCTCGACGTCCGGGCCCCACACCGTGGCGCTAATCCCATGGGCATCCATGTAAAAGGTGCAACGATCATGTTCAAGGACAAAGCCTCGAGGAAGGTGAGATTGAGATGTGAAAGTCCAATCCTGGTTGAAATCTCCTCATACACTTTCATGTTGAGAGGTTGGTTGACAGAAACCACACTGAGTGTACCCAAGCCAATCGATTGTACATATGTGATGCAAAACTATGTTGATGACTGTGAGCACCTGCTCCAAGTGACACTTGGGAGTTGATAATAACTCCTTGATTGGCCACTTGTAAAAAACAACCCTTCTGGCGTTGTCCAAACCTTTCGGGAAAGATCCGCGATTGGGTCCACAAAAGGAAATCCGGCATCTACTGTTCTATCAGGAACAATGGACGCTACTAGGAGCAAAGGGCATCGCTACTAGGAGCAAGGGCCTTACTACTAGGAACAAGAAGCTAGTAGAAACAATAAGTAAATAG